ATTTGTAGAGCCCAGGACAGTCTGTGCTTCCTCCTGAGGGCAGAGGGAGGCTGTGCCCAGATCACTGGAGTGACACGCAGAGACTGATGATGTTTTACTTATGCAAAGCTCTGCACCATGAGCCCTACTTTATTGCAAGTAAGCAAGTGATCTTTTTAATCCAGTATAGAGTCCAACAGAGCGTGCATATAATACATCACATGTGGCTGAAAATAAGGGCACAGCGCTAGCTAACCACCAGCTCATGGAAGAAGGGAGAAGGGGCAAACCCCGCAGCTCAGGGAGCAGCTCTGCTGAGCGGGGCAGCCTGGCAAGGTGGGTAAAATGGTCCTGAGGCCCTGCTGCAGCTTGGTTTTGTAGGGTTATTGGAGTCTCCTACACTCCCCTGCAGTTGTTGTAGGGCTAATGGCACTGCAATACCACTGTCTGGTACCAGATTTGGTGAAGGTTGGGCCACTCGCACAGGTATTTGTCATAAAGTTGCTGGTGAGCAGAGATTCAGTAGAATGGCAACAGCTCTCTGGAAGGATCTGCCTGTATCGTTAATCTGCCACATTATTTAATTGTGAGCTAGAATCCAGGATGGCACATTATCTGCTAGTTTTGTCCTTGTGAATATCCAGTGGAAGGAGATTAATAATCCAGATGGCTGGTAAAATGTTTGTTTTATCATGCTTTCTGATTATTATGAGACTATCAGCCCTCAGCGCCTATTCAAGTAAAATGTCCTCTATATACAGTGCATGCATTCAGCACTCTAAATATATAATAATTACAGGTCAGCTAATGTTGGAACAGTGCCATTTGGTGATTTTATGCGCCATTTGGGTATAGCTGCAAATTGATAAATCACATTTCTACAGATTCTATATAAATCACATATAATATTAACTAGCACAATGAAATGATCAGCTCTCTCTGGCTCCCAGAACTGGGTCCTTAGGCAAGAGGGGCTTTATGATTTGACTATTTTACTTTTATCTGCCTCTGCAAATTGTTATGTTATGCAGGAGCTGGTCATGACTTCCTAATGAGGGTTGAATTTTGAAATAGGACTGTAAGCCTCACGATAAGCCTGTTCTCCACATGTAGGGTGGCCTTTCAGTCTGAAACATCACTTAGGACTAGCATTATACAACTTGAATTTTTTTTCTCCCTGTAGTTTTTCTCAGTTTCTTTTAATTAATTCTTAATACAAAGCGTTTGAAATGGTTCTCAGGGCAGGCTTCATTGTTCGGCATGCAGGACCTTTTTAATGGTGTGGGGGAGATCCACGCAGTGCCGTATCATCTCAGAGCCCATGCTTTTTTGCATTGCAGAGGTGTTTAAAAAGGCACTGAAGGCTGCTTTATTATTGTAGGGTTGTTGATGATTGCTGAACAGCTGTTATTATTTATTCTTAAAAAAAAAAAAAGAGGCGCTGGCTGCAGTAATTCAGGCTGATATCCCAAACTCCCATCTGTGCCAAGCCACAGCCCCTGATGGCTGAGGACAGGACAGGAGTCTAGAGAGACTTGAGATCCAAGGGAGCGGCAGAGCTGACAAGCTGCCAGGGAACTGAAGTCCCGTCTCTGCTCTGTGGAAAGCCCCACAGGAGCTTCACGGAGGTGGCAGCCACCCATCCTAAGCAGGGAAGACTGGGGAGATGAGGTGAAGCTGGGAGAAAACTAGTTTTGAAGTTTCTTTTATTAAAAAAAAATGTGTATTTGCAGTGGGAGGGAGCATCTGTGCATTTGTATCCAGTGCACATTGGAAAAGCTGGGGAAGAGCGCACCCTTTTTCCGCTATTGGTATCCCAGCTGTTACCCGCAGCATTTCAGGCAGGTGAGCGGTTTGGACACGTGTGGCTAAAACGTAGTGAACACCCTACTTGCAGGTGATGGTGGACTGGGCTAAAATAGGAACCTTTGCAGCATTGTCTAAATCAACTAAATATGACATTTGATAAGTTACTGAGAAGAAACAGTGTCACCCCCAGTTTGCCTCTTCCACCTTAGTGTCGCCTGCAGCACACCATCGTTGTGGTTTGAGCGAGCAGGTCAGTGAAGCAGAGAGGATCTGGCTTGGGGTGGTGGCGTTTGGTCAGAGGACACAATTAACACTTTGAGCACAGATTTCCCTTGCCCCAACACAGCCCAGCTCCTTTTCAGCACAGGCACAAGGGGATTTGAGAGCTGAAGTTGCAAAACCAGCCGTGCTGCATCAGGCCAAAGGTCCATCTGGCCAAATTGTTGCTCATGGCTGAGTACAAGAGTGTGGTGAGCCCACAGTGATGCATTTAAGTCCATATTTCAAAGTATGCACGAGCTTTTCTATGCCCTCTGCTTCAACGTAAAGTCTGTCAACCACAAAAGTATCCATGAAAAATGTCATTGCTGAGGTAGATTATCCCCGTTTATAGATGGGGAAAACCTTCACCAGTTTAAGTGATTGGCTCCAGGTCAGCAGCAGAGCCACCAATGTACCTCATCTTTTGTGAGTCATGGACCAAACTTCAAATGATCCCCTGGAAGAATGATCCTTGCTTGAATTACGGAGAACTTTAGAGGTTAAGACAAAAAGCAGGAGTGTTTGAACAGCGCAGTGGGGTTAGTGCTTTCAGCAGCTGAGGTTGGGGAGCGCGGGGTGGAAGGCACATTCAGCTTCCTCTGTTACTGATAAAATTGTTGCATTTGTTTTCAATCTAAAGCAGAAGTCATCTAGACCAGAGCTGTAATATTTTCCTTTTGGGAACATGAATCCTAGCAGGAAATACCAAAAATTTCATTAAGGAAAAAAGCAGGACTCCCGACATTCCCAGACAGCCGTATTCGCTGGGTTTCACTGCTGCTCTCTCACACAAGACATTAAATGGACTCTGGGCTGCACTGTCTTGGGGAAAGGTATGAAGCCTTTGTACTGTGAGGATGGCTCCTTCATCCAACAGGAGCAGCACCGAGGTGCCAGGAGGGGTTATTTCACCTTCCTGGCAGGCTTTGGTTGCGTCCCTCTGGTGTCCTGATGTGCACAAGGAGATCCCATGTTGGCAATGCAGGGCGGGGGACAGGTAGGAGACGGCGCGGGCAGAGCAGGCAGGACGCCTGGGTCCATCCTGGCTCTGCCACTTGCTCATTCAGGCAAATGGTCTGCACTGGGTTTCCTGCCCTGGAAAGTGCCCGGCGCTGCCAGGCCATGGCGTGAGCGCAGCCTGGGGTCAGCAGCTCTCTGCAGCGCTCAGCGTAGGGTTGATGCCCCACTGCCGGCAGAGAGGGCATCTTGTCACTTAAACAGGCATTGCTGCCCTACGCACCCTCGTGTGAAGTCCCTGACAGCTCCCGGGGACAGGGCACAGTCATGAGCAGGGCGAGAAGTCCAGCTTTTTATTGCTTTGGGGGTTTTTATCCCCGAAGTTTGTGGCAGCATTAACATTCCGCTGGAGAATGGGTTTTCTTCAAACATCTCGGCTTCTTGGCCTTTACAACTAACTCCCTGTAGGATGACAAAACGTGGGAGCTGTAAGAAGTGGTTTAGCAAAACATGATATTGGTTAGGAAAGCAGGGAAGGAACATGGGCAGGTTTAGGGGTTTTTTTTTACTTTACTAATTTACAGGAACACAGCCCTTTACAATCTGTTTAAAACTGAATTTAAGCTGAATAATGGGGAAGTATTAAAAACCGTTATCACTGAAAAGGAGACTGAAAGATCAGGTTAAGGATGCAGTTTGTTTTCCATGTGCTGCTCTGTTCGTGTGGACAGTTTCACTGTTTATAGGTAGATGTATTTTTATGTCTGAAAGTCTCCAGTATTTGGGGCTTTAAATGCTGAGGAGAAAAGTTGCTTCATTTACATAACAACTTAGGTGATCTGTGTAAGATAGCGGTATTTCTGTCTGGTTTAAGCTTTATTTAATGTTTGTTTACAAACTACGCTGAACCCAATTTGACTTGATCAGAGTTATCTTAAGCAGGTTTTATTTGGGGGAAAAGGTAACAAAAAGCAGCACTTGATCCGTACGTTGTGTGCAGAGCACAGTCTTGTTCAAAGACGGAGAGACTAGGAGGCAGCGTCGTCTTTTAGTTTAGAAGTCCTATGTATGGTTTTTATTTTATAATGGAAAGAAAATTCAGTGTGCTGAAAATGCAGTGATCCTTTTTCATTGCTTCTTGCACTTTGTTCCAATTTAAAGTATTCAGTGCCCAGGGGTGCTTGGCTCCCCATCCAAAGCTGCCCTCAGCCCCCTGCCCCCCCAGGTTTTAGGAGGCTTATTCGGCCGGTCTGATCTCAGTGCAGTTTAGGGATCACAATCTCAGGATGCTGAGATAGGGCATTTGCCTGAGTGAGAAAGGCTCTTCATGTGAAATGATGAGGAAAGCTGATGTGAAATGAAAATCAATGCTCATTCACCAATCCTGGCCTGGGAAGTTTACAGAAAGCTCAGCGCCACAGCCGGGTTAGCCTGGGCTGATGGTCCCATTCATTCAGATTTCTGAACCAGACGTATCTTGACCTTCTTAAATCAGGTACCTGCAAAGGGCTTAGCCCTCCTCCCAGAGGTTTCTGCTCTTCGGACAGACCCCAGCTGATGGTGTGTGGGGACTGGGACAAGCAGAGCTTTGCGCTAGTAACTGCAGTTTTCTTTAGGTCTGTCTGGTTTACTATGTACATCTTGGTTCAGAGCACTTGACAACATCCAACAGCCCAGGTATCCTTTCACATGATTATTTGATATTTGGGACCAAAACTGTCAACGTGTGAAATCCCTTGGCTTACAAGAGGAACTTGCAGTGTGCAGGGATCCATTGGGGGCTGGTTGCACCAGTGTGAAAATGGACTGTCTGGGCTGTAAGCTGTTGTGGACACCACGGTGCATTGCTGGCAAGAGCATCACCGTTGCTGTAAGGAGGGAGTTGATCCAGTATCTCCCAGAGTCATGCAACCCAAGACCCAGCCTACTTTCACTCATTGACTTCCTGATGCTTTTATGAATAAGCCTGTTGCGCTCTCCTCTTCTCCTCGCAGCTATGGGTAAACCAAGAAGATGGAGTGGAGGAGGGAACCAGCGATGTGCAGAATGGCCATTTGGATCCAAGCGCCGACTGCCTCTGTCTCGGCAGGACTGTTCAGAACCGAGACCAGATGAGAGCCAATGTCATCAATGAAATCATGAGCACGGAGCGCCACTACATCAAGCACCTCAAGGACATTTGCGAGGTACACGGGGGTTGGGATGCCAGGGTACTGCAGCAGGACATGGGATGGGCTGTGGAGAGCTGAGGACTGGGTTTGTCCTTGGGTGATGGGGGAAAAAGATGCAGTGTGTTTGAGTACTGTGTCTAACAAAGGAGCAGCATCTGTCAATAAGTATTGATACTTCTGAGAATTTTCTGCTGGATCTGATAATTACCTTTAGTTTGTATTAACTAAAAGTACAATTTTCTGACCTTTTTTCCATATCTCTTTGACTAAAAAAAGGATGAGGTTGAGATCCTTCAAGCAGTCCTCTTAATTAAAACCCAATGCCATCTACTTTTGAACTTGTGATTGAGGCAATTAGGTTGTAATTAAACCAATCAGTTACCCATTTCATCTGTGTCTTTCACATTGGGTTCACAATTTCCCCTGGCTCAGGATGACCCCTGTTTCCTTTTTCTTGTGGTGAGGCTGAGGGCAAAGTGTTTTCACCCTGAGAAATGAAGTGTGTTACATTTATCTGGTGTAAGGGAACCGGCAAGCAAATAAACTTTGGTGACTGACCTCTTCCATCCTCAACTTGGTTCTTGTTCGTTATGTTACAATTAACCCCTACAGCCCCTTACTGTCCTGCAGCATACAGAATTAGTGCCACAAGCTAAGCCCAAAGTGCAGTGCATGTGGTGCTGGGCGTCTGGAACGGAGAATGCACGGCTCCGCTGGAGAGTGCTGCAGGACAGCTTGGGCATTGTGTGGAGAGCAAATACTTATCGCTAAGAGGCAGAAGTTGGTTAACACTCAAATCAAAGTCCATGGCTTTCAGTTCATCCCTCTGAGTGTTTAGGATTTAGCGAGCCTGTGCCCAGTCTTTGCAGAGTCAATGTGCTGTAGCCCCATGTGAATTCTGCTTAGAAAGATGTCTTCCTCCCTTCATACTTACGACTTTTCTATTGACAAAGCAAAGCAGCCATCCAAAAAGCATCTATGATGCTTTTCAAATATGGAAGAGTCTTGGGATTTCAATTTGGAAACAAACAAGCTTAATTTCGCTGTGCTATTTCAGTCAGAGGGTTTGCATTGAAGAAGGGAAGAACTGCAGGAACTTTTCCACATCGTTTCTTTTCCTGCATTTGCACTTTTCTGTTGAAAAACTAAATAAACCTTGACTTGCGTTTCCCAGCCATGTCACCGTGCTTTTGCCAAGTCAGATTCTCAGGAAATACAGATAGGTATAGCTTCAGTGACATCTGTGGGGTAACACTGATTTACAGCCCCTAATGATACATCCCAGATATGAAAGAGATCTCTAAGGTTTTTGCCTTGCTTAGTATGGTGCAAAGTGGTACTGAGGGGATAAATCCAGGTAGAGCAGCAAGAAATTATTCAGCTGCCTCTCTTAAAGAAGGAGGAGGACTGAAATGGGCATTCTCATCTGCAGAATGATGGGCTGTCCCTTGCTGGAGAGAGCCTCATTGTGCTCAGTTTAATCAGAGCAATCCATTTGCCTTGAAAAGGCTCAGAGACAGCTCAGTCATCCCAAGCATTTCGGCATAGCATGATGTGACTGTTTCTGTTTGTGCATAAGAGGAGGGAGCTGGAGATGGAGAGACACGGGCCGGCTTGAGCTCCTCCCAGTGCCACTGGATGAATTTGTACAGAGGTGTTATTTGTGCTGAAGAACAAGGAGACACCAGACAACCGCTGATGAGAGGCAGAAGTGCTGTTGACAGTAGCAAATTCCCCTCTTCCCTTTGCTCTTATTTTTAAGGTGTCAGGACAAACAGCAGCGATATGACGTATGGGAGGGGATGAAAGAGGAGTTCTGGCTGGGTGGCGAAGGTTGAGCCTGATTTAGTACTGAGTTTAGCAGTCTGCAGTTATACCCGTGTTGCTGAGCTATAATGAATAACAAATCCTAATACCAGTGAGGCACCTTAAGATGTGTGGTTGTTATCAGAGGACCGTAGCCCCTGCTAGGTGATTAAGAACCCTCCAATTGCTCTTTTCTGCTTCAGGATGTATTTCCACTACCTGCTACTATATTATTATACACCGTGTTATTATTCATAATACCCATGGCACTAGTACTGCCAAGTCAGGCGCTCACAAGCTAGCCAGCACCAGAATGAAAATTACCTGCTCAAGCCAAGAGCTGTGTGAAGCAGCTGGCTTGGAGGGGAATTCCACATCACAGCAAAGCCATAGTGCCCTGATGACTGCTGCTGCTGTGCCCTTGCTTGGAGTAGGAAGGACTGACTGCTGCTCGGTGAAACAGTTTTGTGAAGATTTTTATTAGGGGAAAAATGTGGAGTTTTCCCTGGACTGCATTATCAGGAGTGGATGGATCGTTATTCTGAAATATCACCAAGGGGGAAAAAAGAAAAAAAAGAATTTAGCCTTAAGGAAATACCCAGCAATAGGAATTTCAGGCTTAGAGGTTAGAATGTAGAAAAAAAATAAGCTACTGAAAACTAGGTTTTTGTAAGGGGTAGCAATAGCCAGCCTTACTGGCAGGCAGTGCTGCTCACTTACTGTCCTGTAAAGCACCACATACGTGCATGGCCATCTCCAGCCTTGAACAGATATCCCCCTGCACCGGGGGTTCAGTCCTGGGAGGATGCAGGAGGGCACAGACTCTCTGTGACGTGGCACCGGTGACACCGGCGGAGCATCCAAGGTGCTCGGTCAGGACAGCTACCTCGATGAGAGCAGAGGGCCAAGAAGGTGGTTTGAGCTGTAGCGTGTGGTGGGGAGCACAGGTGGAAGAAGGAGACGCAAGAGGGCTATGAAGAGCAGCGTGCTGTGCTCTGAGAAATGAGCAGGATTTGGAGCAGCATATGGATTAGGAAGACAAGGCTAAATTTAAGGAGGTGTTAGAGGGAGAAGGGACAGAGCTTGGATGGGAACAGTGAGGCAATTGGGAGATCAAAGGAAACCTCCGTATTATGAGTAATTTGGGGGTGGGAGGTTAGAAAGGCCAGCCAACTTCCAGTGCTGCGTTTTGCTCTTTTCCAAGTAATTTCATTTTGAATGTATTTTTTAATAATGTTGACTGGATTCCACCTAAGCTTTGCTTTGGTGCCAGGACAGCTCGGAATGCTGCGTGGAAAACATCCTCATTGCATCTTAGCGTGTCAAGCTGCATCTGTTGTGTGGAGCTGATGGGACAAGTTTTCCCATGGTCTGGATGGCATTAGCCTGACTCATTCTCGGGGATGGATAAAAACCCACTTTTTTGTGCTGCCTCAGAGCGAAGCAGCATCAAACCTTCTTGGCAGCAATGTGGCCCTCCTTCAGAGGACTACAGCTGAGAGACTGCTGGCCCCATTGTATGACCAATTTCTCATCCATGGATACCAGACTGGAGGACGACTCTGCAGAAAGCTCTTTGGATCAGTGAGGATATATATACTACATGTATGCATTCCCCAATGTGCAATTTGTAGCTGTCTTTCACAGCCTGCTTGTGCACAGCTCGTTTTTCTGGTTTGGAGCTGGCTGCTTCTTGCCCTTTTGAGGAACAGGCTTGTGTTCCTGCAGGACTTTATTTTATATTTTAGGTGGGCCCCAGTGCAATCACAGTGCCTGACATTCAGTACTTGCTGTAGACCAGTATTTGAATAAGTGTTTTAGAGTCCTGACTGCCTGGGACCAGACACGGCTCTCGTTTGCCTTTTCAATTCAAACAGTCTCAACTTTGTTCTGGTGCTTATTCTTGGTATGTGCATACCGGCACAACGCTCACCTGGATGCTGTGAGCACTGCTCTAGAGAGCAGTATTTTTATAGTGGTGCTGGTCCGAACAGAGGGATGGTCTACAGGACAGTGTAGATAGCCCCCAAACTGGCTCAGAGATGGAGAGAAACTGGAATATCATCTCCTCATTCTCTCCTTCACCTCGCTCTCAGCCGGACAAGAAGGATGGATGGATTGGCCACCTCTCCTGACTGTCTCTAAACCCACTCTGGGCTGGAGAAAACTTAGCACTTAACCTGCTGCAAATACTTTCCAACTTTGGCCTATACTTGAGGGACTACATGGAAAAGTACTTTATAGAGAGACAGTTTGACAGCTATTTTTAGGTATTCATTGAGCAAAACACTCTCCAACATCTGCTCATCAGTCAGCTATCCCTTTTCTGAGCAAACCTGACGGGATGAGCAGAAGGAAGATGACATTGTTTTATGTAACAGAAGTAAATTTACTGGAAAAACTATGCAGCAGCCTTCTAGCTGGCTCTTGCTGCCTATTACGTATGAATCTTCAGTCTCCCCTTTGCTGGCTTGTGCTGGAAACCAACCATCCAAACGCACAAGCTGGATAGAGGATAAGGCTTGGGAACTCTGTGCGTTCTTTTATTTTTCCCGTGGTTTTATAGGTGCCTGTACAGAAATGTGCTGCTTCAGCTTCTCAGAAACATGTGACTCGGGCAGAGTGATGAACCAGCACAGGGAGGACGGGGAATATTCAAGACGGTAGTCACAGCCAATAGCAACCCCAGGGCTGAAAGATGTTCACGTAAATCATCCAGTGGCTGATTTCACAGAACAGTATGCGAGAGGGGAGGCTGGCTTGCAGGCAGCCTGCAGCGTGCAGCAGGGCAAAGGTCCTAACACAAATGGCTTGCGGCAGTCATCCGGCACTGCCAGCACCAAAGCCAGAGTCAAAAAGAGCCTGGCCTCGTGGGCAGGTGCACATCTTTTTTTCTTGTTTTGTTTTGGTTTTTTGAAAGCTCTTTCTGAGAGAAGCAGGTAAACATGAAAAGCAGCATGGAAAGATACTCTGCACGATTCCTTGCTCATCTGAATTTTCATTTGCCCTGCAACTATCCTGCAGCGTGGGAACCAGCCTGCTCCCATTCCTCCTGGCCTTGAAAAATGAGAGAGGGAAACCCAGGGAAATGAGTCATCAAGGAGCTCCTGGAAGAAGAGAGACCTAGATTTAGTAAATGCAGAAAGGTATTCCAAAACCCAAGCTTCCCAGCTGAAAAAGCCAGCAAATTCAGGGTAACGGCATCCTTCTAGCTAAGCTGGACATTGCAGAGATTGGGTTTTTGCCAGGTCGGCCAAAGTTGCATTTATCATTCATCTGTTTGAAGTTCTCCCTCCCAGGAACCACATGGTGAGGCTGAAGGACAATTTATTATAGCGTTCCAATAGTTCGCATTGTGGACCAGCAGCTGCGTGTCACCAGCTGGCGGTTTGTCTGTGTGACTAAGCATCTAGAGTTCCCAAATATAGCCATTCAACTGGAGCTGTTGGCATTTTTTTCCCTTCATTTTTTTTCTCTTCCTATATAATAAAGGCAGGCAAAGTCATCTCGTGATGACCCCCATGTTATTTCTTTTCAGTCGAGAGGCCGCAGTCCAGGCCAAGCCAGCGTAGCATCTGATATTTGGCCTTGCAAAGTTTCTAGCCTAAATCGTCCAGACAGGCCACGCACAGGGGGGATGAAGTGATTTGCTCAATGTCACACAGGTCGGTGGCAGAGCCAGAAATTCAGCCCAGGCATCCAGAGGCTCCATGTGTCACCCCATCCCCTGGACCACATGTGCTTCAGGCAAGCGTGTTTGAAGAAGTCCTCATGATTCAGCTGAAACCAGGACGGCGAGTTCATGGGTAAGGCAGGGTCAGCAAAACAGGGAGGCAGGCAGAATTTGGTGCGTTACACTTTTTGCCAGAATATTGATCCACTCAGTCTTTTTAGGTCAGGAGGTTTTCAGAGCAGTGCTTGCCTACCGATTTGTGTTTGTATGATGTCCAGCTAAGCTCAGGCTCAGTACCAATTGCTAACATGGGCAGATGAAGAATAAGCAAGGAGGATCTTTTTGTTATTGCACTGGACCGAGATGCAGGAGATCTGAATTGTTCCCATATCTACTGCAGATGCATTCTGTGATTTTGGAGAATTTCCTTAAACTCTCTACATCATAGTTCTTCCCCTCTCTTTCTCCATCTGACTTTAATGTCTATAAACTCAGTAAGGGAGCCTGATGTTTGTACAGAGAAGGGCACAAAGCCTTTTCCTCTGGTTCCACTTAAAAAGGAAGAAAAGCAATGAAAGGTGATAGTTGAGAAAACAAGAAAAATTCTCCCTCATTTTATGCTGTTTGGAATGGCTTATTGGCGCTAATGGAATGGAGGGTATAGAAAACAAAATTAAAATAATGCTGCTTTCCTCTAGATGGCATTGATCAGCAGCTCAGGCTGCTCCCACGGTGGCTCCCTTGCTCAGGCAAGCCAAGACACCTACCCAACCTGCTGTGTCACCTTTGGGCTTCCCTGCCATGACATTCCCAGGACAACAGCCCTCCTGCTTTCGTCTCAGACTCAGGAAGATGAGTAAGGGGGAGATAAACCGTGTTGCCTCCCAAGTCAGGGAATGCTTGAAGAATGTTTTCCTTCAGCATTTCACTTGGTGCTGAAAGAACTAGGATGGTTACACCCTCCATACCCTCTTCCTAGACCAAGGATATGCAACCACACGTTAATAGAGTGTTTGTCAGCATGATTATCAGCTTCCTCGTCCTGATTACTGTGGCTAAAAGGAGAAATCGGAGTGGGCAGGTGATCAAACAGCCCCTTGCAGCTTTCTCTGTAATGCTATGTGCCTGAAGAGGACATGGAAACAGCAGCGTTGTAGGAGCTACCCAGGATACTGGCTGTTGTGAGGCAGTGATTTTCGAAGGAACAGGCATACAATACTGTAACACACCTCTTTGGAGCTATCAGCCAAATTTTGCTGTTCTCTGCAGCACACGTAGGACAGAGCCGTTTCAAGCTGTGCTGGTGGAGATCTCTGGGGAACCTTTCCTTTGCAAAACTGATTCATGCAAAATGCTGAAGGACACTGAGGCAGAACCCAGCACTCTCCTCCCAATGCACTGTACATACGCTGTCTCCACCATCTCCATAACAAGTGGATTATGTTTTCAGAGCCATTTTCTGATTTTGTTTTTACTTGATCATTCCTCAAGAAAAATCTGGGAGCAGCTTCAGTGTAAGTGTTTGGGTTATTTTATAGATTGTTCTGTCTTACTCCTTACAGGGTTACTTAAAGCAGTGCCGGAAGAGGAGGGATATGTTCAGTGATGAACAGCTAAAGATCATCTTTGGTAACATCGAAGATATCTACAGATTTCAGATGGGTTTTGTCCGGGACTTGGAGAAACAGTATAACAACGAGGACCCCCATCTCAGTGAAATTGGACCATGTTTTCTTGAACACGTAAGTTGATTTGGCATTTTTATTCGGGAGTTTTGGGGTGGTTTTTTGGGGGGTGATGGGAGGGGAATAGCAGAGGAAGTCAGGAGACAGGAGCCACGCAGAATAACTTTTGCACATTAGGACTGTTCTAGTTACATATCACAGAATACTCCAGGGCCTTCCATTCACCTCGTGAGATATAGGTGCAGGGACAATTCAGAGTGAAGCACATAGTCGGATAACTCCCTCAGAACATTTGAATCCCAACACCTTTTCACATCCGCCCTTACTCATGATATGTAGGTATGATGTCCCCCACCTACTCCCCACCGTATTTTGCTCTTCAGAATATGACTTAAACCCACTCACAGGCCATTCTAATCAGGTCGTAGATGACCAGAAGGTTCAAAGAGGTAAGGAGTCCAGAAAAGTAAAAAGAGGTCTTAGTTGTGCACTACACAAAAAAAGTAGAGGAGACCAAATGCCTGGGCTGTTTGCTGTGGCACTGAGACGCATTTGTAAGGGATGAAAAACCCATGCAGCTTCAGTTTCAGTTACCTTCCCCTTCGGAGCTGCTGGGCTGGGTGGGTAGGTGCCAGCTCGTGCTTCTTGCTGCCTGGGTGGCAGCAGGGCAGCAGATACTCGCTCGCGCCAAGTGCATGCTGAACAGGACTGCTGGTGATACAGTCCTGGAGGCTTTTGCCCAGCCCATTGTACTGTTACATAAGCCATGTACTACAGGAGCTGATAAATTGGCCGGTGTCGTAAATATGTCAGGAAATGTCAAGAAAATTATAGTCCTGCAGTTCTAGGCTTTCCTTTAGGGAGAATGAAGTGCTGTATGAGAGCTTATGTATGAGGTGCTCCAACCCGGGATGCAGATCCTGTACTGTGTTACCTCAGTACTTGCAGTCAGGGCTGAGCTGGCAACAGTTGACTACTTATTAGAGAAATTTCTGATAGACATTCATGGAACTTCAGCAGGGCATCCCTAAAAAGGTTCACAGCATCTCTGAAGCATCATTGGTCTTCTAATTGAAAAGGAGATTTCTTTTTGAGAAGTTGCATGGTGGCATTAACATTGTTCATTTTTATCAGAGCCTGCAGTCTGCTGCTTGCTTCCAAAGCAGCATCATATTCCACCTCTGTGCTGAAGAGATGTAAGAAATCTTGGTGACAATCAGTAGCTAAAACTTCATGTCTTGAGGCTGTGCTGTCAATTCATTTATAGTGACAATAGTAAGAATTACTACCATTATTTGGAGGAATATCTGACACTTCTCTGTCATCAGATAGGAGCTGAAAGCTGGCTAATAAACTCCTGATAAATCATCCCTGTTTGGCCATTTGGGGAAACTGAGGGATGAGAACATTAAGATCCTGTTATATGGATCTGCATTACCAAAGGCCAGGGCTCTGCTTGGTTCTACCTTTACCTTTTACAAAGAAAACCCCACCACACAAAACTGAGAACACCCACAACGCTGCACAGGGGTTCATTTTGACACACCCTGTACCCGCAGAGACCTCAGCGATGTGTCAGTCTGTGGGTCCCTCTCTGCCTCCCTTTTCCCCCAGAGCAACCCTGCAGCACCGCCTCCGAGCAGGAAAAGTACTCTAGGATCAGTCCTTACTCCTCCTGCTTGGGGTATTCTTTCTTCTTTAGTTGTAATGTGTTCTTGTTGCCAAGTCGGGTGGTTGACTGCTCACAGCGCTTGTCTGACATGTGCTCCCCTCTGTGTGCATCCCTTTTCTCCTGCCTCTCACAGCAAGATGGCTTCTGGATCTATTCAGAGTACTGTAACAATCATTTGGATGCATGCATGGAGCTTTCTAAGCTGATGAAAGATAGCAGGTACCAGCATTTCTTCGAAGCGTGTCGTCTGTTGCAGCAGATGATTGATATTGCCATAGACGGTTTCCTTCTGACGCCAGTGCAGAAGATCTGCAAATACCCCCTGCAGCTCGCAGAGCTACTCAAGTACACCGCGCAGGATCACAGGTACGCCAGTCTCTTATTACATGGAAGGATTTTGCTCACTGCTTCTTTACGTGGCCTCTGCACACGCACAGGGGTTGAGTTTTTTCTGTCCAGCTCTTCTCTTCATGACATCTTGTATAAATGGCAGCGGGGCAAAGGTGCAGCAGACAGTTAGACAGCTTCTCAAAGCACTGATTCTCAACGGAGCCAAACTCGTCTCTGTTAAATCAAACATGTGAACTAATTACCCTTGGATGTACTTTCTGATGCTACTGGTTACACTAAAAAAATTACCTAATTAGCATTCAGTGGTCAGAAAGGCTTATTCCTTTATCCTGAAGAGGACGTCAGCACACAGCAAGAAGAGGGTCAGGATCCGCAACTCAGACCTGAATATGCTCAGGTTTGGGGAGAATTCAGAACCTGCTCTGCTTTTCAGCCTGATTCCATCTCTGATTTTGCCATTGGGTTTAGGTTCAGAGGAGCACCCAGCAGTTTGATTACTTCCCAAAATTTTCAGGATCTCCTTCGGTGCTGCTGAGGGCAATCAACCTGACTCCCTGGCCTAATGTAAATCAAGAAAAGTACCTATGATACCACTTGTGATATACTGCTATAAAAATAAGGTGAAAGAAGAATCAGGTCCCCTAAGAGTAGATTTTCTCCTGCCTTGCCAATTTGCTTTCTTTTTCCAAAACCCATTTAAAAGGAAGTGCTTCAAAGAACAAAAAAGACCACAGATGTTTCCGAAACTTTTGCAAGTATTTGATTTTTCTTTTGTTTGTTTTCCCCAAACCCAGAGAGGCGCAATACGAGCAAAGAGGTGCATTGATTTGCTTTGACCTGATTCATGAGTTTGATTCATACTAGCTGAATGCCCAGTTCAAAAATCACCAATCTGGACATGCATTTGGCTCCAGATTCAATTTCTGGTTTTCCCTTTGTAACGAGACCAAATCAAACTTGGAGCGAACTCATGGGAGCATTAGCGTATGAGAAACCAGCTCTATGATCCCAAACGTTGTGGCTTTTTCTCCTTACCAGCCATGTGATGTCCCCACAGTACTTACAGTGGGAATTCAGATGCGGCTTTACAATGGGAAGACATAAGCAGCCTCAGAGAGAAGAGGTCTGTGTTTAAAATGACCTTGTCTGAGTTACTTGGTAGCAATACCAAAGGGGATGTGGACAGTGTGATTACACAAGGGTTGGATTATTTTAGGAGTACATTCCTTTTTCCTTTGGGATGTTTTAAAATCAACATGTTGTTAAGTAATCACATACAGTCATATTCTGAGGAGACTCGGACCTTTCCTGTGGTTAAGCAACAATTAGTTGATTCAGACTGAGAGCTCTTTTTTTACTGGATTGTGTTGGTGATAGGACACGGCTGTGGACACTTCAATTCTTCTGTTTCTTCATTTTCTGAAAAGAGAAAGCAGGATTATATTTGCTTGCCTTGCATTAGTAAAGAGTAAGCCCCCTGAAGCTGTAACACAGTGCAGAAATGAAACTCCTGCCATCACAGAGAGCCAGCAAAAGACCTGTGCCTTATCTCAGCCCTGGAGTGTGGCGTACTTGGTGTTGGCATACCCTGGAGTTTATTGGCTCACGGAGGAATGGCATTATAACACAGAAATGGGGTGGGTTATACTACACTTCCCTGTGGTCTAGCTCCTCCGATTCAAGTGGTCAAAGAGCCTGGGAGGGACCGATCCTCCAGGCAACCCAGCTCCATCCCAGACAAGCTTAATGGGGAAAGTGAGGCACAGAAAAGTGTGTCTTACCACCAGATGATTCTGTGCTGAGGCTGAGCAGAAAACCCAGGCTGCCCTTGTTGTCTGCTTGAAATACGAATATTTTCTGCTCTTGTAATCCTGGCTTTGGGGTTGGGGCTGAGATGAGCAAAGCTTGAGAACGGAAAAGCAAATAATCTTTAGGGAATGTCATGTTGTGACAATATCAGACACAGGTACCAGATACCCGCAGGTTGGGGTATGGTCAGGGTCAGCTATGAATGAGAAACTGAGAAGCCAGCTGGGGAGCTTCAGCTGGGCCCATTCAGCAGGTGGCGAGTTGTCCTCGTGCGCTTGCAGTTTGACAGTGCTCACAATCAGATTGTGAGTCTGAAAGAGAAGCTGGAAAATTAGAGTGGACTAATACAGGGAAATGAGGTTTGTCCCTGGCAGTGTTCAAGGCCAGGCTGGATGGGGCTTTGGGCAACCTGGGCTAGTGGAGGGTGTCCCCGCCCATGGCAGGGGGGGAACTGGATGGGCTGGGAGGTCCCTGCCAGCCCAAACCAGTCTGGGATTCTATGATCATTGGCAGGATTAGGAGCCTCTTAGGCACTCTGATTAGAATTTAATATGTTGAAAATACTGTTTAAATCAATTGAACCATTTACAGAGTAAGGCAAAACTCAGAAAGGACCAGGGGTCTCAATGAAAGCTAATATGTTAGCTTCATCTAACAGGGGGACGTAATATTCTTCTTTTTTTGTTTTCCTTCCTCCTCACTAATATCATACTTGGATCTTCCCTGTGCCAGGTCAGGACAACAGAGCTGAAAGCAGAAACCTGACCACTCTCCCCCAAGTTAGCATGTGATATTTGACAAGGGTCTAGACTTGTATTCTGACTGAGCACTGGAAAGAGGTTCCTGCAGCCCCAATATAATGGACAAACAATTTATTTACCTTAATTTCATAGTTACTGCTATCCTATTATTATTTCACTGGCCAAATGCTTTGCTTCTGTTATTTTTTCTTCTAAGTTTTTGCCAGCTCTGCCACAGACATGGGCTAGGAGCCCAAAAAGTTCAGTCATGACTCTTTCTTCATTACTGCGTGAAAGAAAAATGTGCATGGGGTTTTCTCTTCAAACAGAACATTAGAATTAGTAAATTAGCATTACCAAGATAAAACCCAGCTTGATTGGCATCAGCCCACTCCACATGGAGGCAGGCATGGGGGTGTTTTCAGAGCCTGGCTCCCTTCAATTGCTTATTGTTTTGGGACTGGTTCATTTGAATTTTTCACAAAGCCACATCTGTTCACCTCTTAAAGATTTACTCCAGCTTAATATGAATTAAATATATGAAGGTCCTAAGTGCAGCTTGCTGCTGTCCTGAGCGTTTCTGCTGCAGAACTGAGCTGGAGTTAACTGTATGAACATGTTACGTGACAAAGAGGAGACTCTGCTAACAGGTGGACTGACATTAGCCTCCCTTCTTTGCATGAGCATAATTGCTAGGAGATTATTAGTGACTGTCTCTAAACCCTACACCTCTCCCTACCTCTACAGATCCTTTCTGGCCATAGTGACTTACCTATTTCCCTGCAAGAACTCATAGACATTTTGAAGACCAGACTAATGTCTCTCTGGCATAGCTCCATTTCTCCCTTACACAACCAGGCGCTCACTTCGTACAGATGGCCCCACAAAGGAGGGCACAAGAAATTCTTTGTGTATCTTTGTGTATTCATTGTGTATCATGATGGTTATGTCAGACAGCCCATCCTCTGTTCTCCTTTACTTTGTTGAAGAACCAGGCCTAATGTTCTGGAATTTGTAGGATTTTTTTTTCTTTAACCTCAGCTAGAGTTTTGACGTAAGAATTGAATAAAAATTGAAAATGCATCTCAAGATTTCATCCAAGAAAGGATGGCAAAATAGCAAATAATGTTGTGTTGTATATCATATTGTGATTGTTTCTTAATATTTATCCTGTTTGGATCACATGGGGAAATGGATCTAATTCACAGCATTCACCCCTATTTTAGCTCTCACCAGTGCAATTCTTAGCAATAATCAATAAAGCTATTCCCCCTGCAGCTGCCCAAGATCGCAGTTTTTCTCATTAGTCAGCAATCAATACCAGCCCTTAAGTTAACAATATATTATGGTGGCATTATGGCAGCTGGCCTTGTCTGTCTTTGCGACTGAAATGAACATTAAGGTTCCTTGGAATGGAAAAGAAGGCACCAGGCAGAAATCAATAGCATTGATTTCAGCATCACTTTTTGAAAAGACTGATCATCATCTTTGCTGGCCCTGGCGGGAGGCTATTTTCACTCTTTGTTATTACACTCACAGGCCTGTCCAGAAAAAAAAAAGAAAAGAAAAGAAATGCTTTGATTTGCCCACCTGAAGTCTGCAGTAAGAGCGAATGCCATGGGATAAATGCTTTGTGGCACTCTTGGAGTCACCTTATGGCTTGGAAGGTGCTCCGGCCCTGTGTCTAATCAAAAAATATTTTCTAATGTTCATTTTAAAAATGGAAAAATCCAGGCCCAAAGACACAGGCTATAAAAAGGTTCAGACTTTCATTTAGGATGTTCTTTAGCTGAGCACCTTAAGACTTTAAAGAGCAATGTTCCCCACTGTTGTGCGTTGGATTGGTAGAGGCTGGACTGTACTCATTGCACTGATGCAAACCGGCTGAGGAGCTGGCTGGCTTCGCTGTCTCATACACACGCACTTTCGGTTTCAAGCAAGCTGCTCTTTTGTGATAATCCAGAAAGACATTGCTGTTGGAAAAAGTATGGTATTGTAGAAATGAGTGGCAAATCCTACCTGCATTTCTTTCTAAAAGGATGGTGAGATTACGCTGCTGCTAATGATAGAGTCCTGTGCAGTTCCACTGCGCATCAGGCTCCATTTCGTGGGCTTTTCTTCTGTGTTCAACAGTGACTACAGGTATGTGGCTGCTGCTCTCGCCGTCATGAGGAACGTGACTCTACAGATCAACGAGCGGAAGCGGAGATTGGAGAACATTGACAAGATAGCTCAGTGGCAGGCCTCCGTTCTGGACTGGGAGGTACGGTAAACGCTCGGCCCCGATTTAGGTGTTATAAACCTGGAAAAAATCAATTCCATGCAGTTGCTGAGTTATCCAAGTTCACATAGTTCATTTCACGCAACCTATGTTTGGGATTAAGCTTGGGATGGAGAAGACATATTTACAGACTTTAGAGATGGTTCTTAAAATGTAAAACATTAATGGTACTCTGAAGACAATGTGGGGTCTAGTTCCAGTTACATCAATAGAAATCTGGAGTGACTTTTGGGATTGCAACGCTGTTGTCCTGGGAGTAAATGAGATTTGGATCATGCTTTATGTGCATTCTGGCTCTGTGCTGTGTCATTGGGGAAGAAGTAGGGAAAGAGGTAGCAAAAAGCCCTAGAAATTGTGACAGGTTAAGGAAATGGACAAAACTCTTCTGGTGGTTGCTTTATGATTAGAAGCCAAAACATTAAGCTGAAGTTAAAGATGCTATTTGCACATTTAAAATGAGCACCCACTTAAAGATATTTCTGAACCAACCCTATGTGTAGTGATCGTGTAATAAGGAGCTGAGAAGCATGGGCAAGGCAAAGTCAGCAGAGGGATTCCTCACTAGGAGGCCTTCAGTCTCCTACATTTTTGCCATGTGTTTAAAAAAAAAAAGCCATACTAAAATTATGTTCTCCTTTTCTTTTCATCCCTGATTTTTTTTTTAAATCATTCTAAGAATGTAATCTGTAAATAGTGTTTTTGAAGCAGACTGAGGACAAATGTTTTTGTAAATCCCTCTCTATGTTGTCATCGATCCATGTGTTTAGCAAGTAGATACTCAGTGATGGAACAGCCTTTCTTCTTGCTCACAGTCGTGAAGATCTGGAATAACTCCACATTCAAGTCAATGGGATCATACTATGTAAATTAGGACATGGGAAAGATGCATTAATCCTTTAATTTTTTTTTTTTTTTTTTTAGTATCTAGGAAGACTGGGAGGAGAGGGAGAGAAATACAGGTGCATCACCTTCTGATTGTGTATCCTCCTTGACTGAATTAGATTCATTGCTGTAATGAAGGTTGGATTCCACCCTGGATCTCTTGATAAAACATATAAATGCAGCAGTCATAGCTGGTTCTTAAATTATGACTGGCTGTGAGAGCAGAAAATGCAGATGATTTGCTTGCTTGTTTTATTGTTGTTTATTGCGAAGAAACCGCTCTCTCACTGACGTGCAGACTCATTTTCAGAATTAGAAAACTGCTCTCAAGGAGGCACAGGACCATCAGATACATCTTCAGCCTTCAGTATATTGGGTGTGATGAGCTAATGCGTGTGATTTGTAAGAAATGCCGAGACCCTCATTGTAAATAAATCTAGATTAGGGACGGATCAATTCCAAGTCAGTGAATATTCATGTGTGAGTGGAAAGCCAAGGTGACCTCCACATAGGATCTATGGAATAGCAGTTTCTTTTTCTCTTCCATTAGCTCAGTTGATAATTCATTTTTATTTAGCCATATCCTTGATAATTCATTCCTG